TCCCTAATTAGCAGTAAACCTCTGCGCTGAAAATATCCTTGCTTAGATAATAGAATCAGTAGATAAAAATCCAAGTTATTACAGAATGATAGAGCTACCTGGGCCCGGAGAGGATGATATGAGAGCCCTGAGAGGCCCTGTCGTGTAGCAGAGCAGGCCCGCATGGCGTGCCTTGTTTCAGTCAGTGCCTGCTGTTTTTCAGGGCTGCTACTTCACACAGGGTTGCTCACTTATCTTCTCCCAGCCTCAGTTTTTCCACTCATAAGATAGGACCACAGATCATATGGGGCTGTTTGGTAAGCACTTGAGATTACATGGATGTGAAGGCAGGCACCTTGCAATGGGGCATATAAGTATGAGGAGTTATTACACTGCAATGAATAGACTGCTGATACTATTCACATTTCTACTTTTGAAAAATAAAATAATGCAACCTCTCTCACCATACGCATTGATATGTATGTTCTGTTACCAGCTGCAATGCTAGAAGCTACTTAGTAAAAATAAATTGTACACAGGTACTTATTTTTTAGGACATGTTGAGTCCTAAGGACTACTGAGAGAGAGAAATGAAAAGGAAGGAGTCTCTTCATCCCAATGAGAAAAGTGCTGCACTACTACTTAAATGAAACTTGAATCCTGAAGAAAGTGCTAGGCTATGTCTTCTTCGGTGTGAGAAACAAGTGGAAACTGAGGAGCCTGTGTTTTATCAATATTATTCCATGGATGTTATGTATCATGCATTGAAGAGAGAGAGAGTGTGTGTGCGTGTGTGTGTGTGTGTGTGTGTGTGTGTGTGTTTGGTGGGAGTGGGGGTTTCTGTAGCCAAATAAGGATCAGAAACATTGGAACAGATGATCTCTTGGTATCTTTCCTCTTGAGAAATGCCAGGAATCCAAGGTCAGCATTATATGAGATTAGAATTTAAAAGAAAAGAGTCTTCCCAAATGTGTTATTTCAGAAACAGTAACACACACAAATAGGAAGATGTTTTTGATGAATAAAATGAATGGTATATTTTTCCTAAAATCTGTGAAGTACTGACAAGAAAAGTACTCTGAAATTATAGAGCTCTACTTGAAATGTAAGTGCTAATCGTAGAATTTGAATTGCTTAGGTTTATGGAAGACACACTTAGCCTTCTTGCTGCGTTTACTTAGGTTGAAAGGAAAGCAGATATTCGGCTCAAACAATGATAAAATGTGTCTGCTCCTAGGGAGTCCCCCCTAAAACTGGAAACATGAATTAGCAGGTTTTCTTTAATAGTTGTTGATTTAAATTAGAACAGCCAGCACCATTATTATTAGAGGTAATATTTCATTTTTTTCTATGGGATGAAATGTTTGGTTGGAAAAATGCATGGAATTTAGTCAGGTGGCACCATATTTGGGCTCAAGTTCTCTCTTTATTGCAAGTCTGGAAAACAGAATGTAGGTTATTTTCTCATCTTCATCTTCATTTATCACCAGAACTAAGATAATCCTCTCCCTGAAAGGCAGTTTGGGGAATACAAAGAGAGTCCCTTTGTTACCCTGGGTTGAGAGCAGTTAAGCTCTCTATACAATGTAAGAGGCAAGCTGTTTCATTTTAATGCTCTCACAGACTGTTAGGTAACATTACCAAGCCCGTTCTCCAGAAGGAAATCTGAAGCTATGAAAGGTTCAGAAGCTCACCTAGTTTCTGTAATAGTTCAGTCTCTGCCTCTAACCATATCGGCAGTGTGGCATAGTATATCCCTTCACTACCACTGGCCACAAATGCATTGTGGGAGACTTACATCTCACTCCAGTGTCCTAGAGCCTCCATCCATCCTCTTCTCCAGAGAGAGCTTTGTAATGTGGTTAGCTCCATCCCCTGCTGAGAATCCCTACTGCAGTCTCTCAGGTCTTTAGATATGTTCCCAGTGGTCTATGGAATTTATGAAATTGTAAGTAATTGTAATAATAATTACAGTGTATAATTGTAAATTGGATTTTTAGGTGTATCTTTATGAGTGCCATTCTCTGCCCAAAGACAGGTTAGCTCATCAGATTTCAGAGTTGTGCCTGGTCTCACACGGGCCTGTAGCCCAGGCCCACAGGGAGCCTTAAGCCCCTCAGTGAGACAGGGCTGCTTTTAACTGATTCTTCTGTCTTAAACGCCAGACCACTTTCCTCCCTGACCAATCTGCTCCTGACCTCCAACATCTAACCTTTCACTCCTCTCAGAGTTCCCCATTTGATCCCACTTAGAAACCAGTTCAAAAGGTTCATTAATATCCAGCATATCTTAATGATTTGACTCATCACATTTAAAAAAGTTATAGATCATGAGTTGCAGTAGTGCAGTTACACACTATAAAACAAACAGACTTAAAAAGTGAAAGCCCGCCAGTATTCCAACACCAGAGACAATCCCCTTTAACACTTGAGTGTCGGTCTTTTCAGGCCCTTTTTATTTGCTATGTATAGATCTGCAGATAATTAATTAACTGTACTTCCTTTACAAAAATGAGACCTCCGTTTAGATATTCTATTATTGGATCTGTTTAATGGATAACATATTGAGGTTATCTTTTCATACTTGTACATACAAATTTGAAAAGTGTCTTTTAAAGCTTGTTCCTGTTTCATTGTATGTGTCTGCCATTGTCTATTTCTGTGGTCTCTGACCACCTGGTGTGTGACTGTTGCACCAGGGTTCCTTGTTGCCTGTAAGGGAACACAGAATGTGAAAGGTGTTCTCTTCCCTTCAGATTGTAACTCAAGGCCCTTATCGTTTTGGTGTGTTTCTGGTACATAATTATATTGTAATTATATTATTCTTTTTTCTTTCAAATATAGTTTCTGGGACCAGCCTTGGTCATATAAATCTATGTTTTTGTATGAGTCTTTCTGTAAAATTTCCTAGAAGTAGGTAGCATATCTGCAATGTAAAGTTTAATAACAGTAGCAAATCATTCCTCCAGTGTTCATATCTACATACAGTCCTACCAGTATCGTGTGCTTTTTGATAATCAGAAATTTGTGAACATTTCTCACTGCCACTAGACTCCAATGCCCTCAAAGGCAAAGACTGTCATCTTTGTGTCCCTTCCCGATGTTTGCAGAAGATACACAAAACAGACACTAAGAAGGAGTGAATACACTAATAAGCAAAAGAATAAATGAATGACTCAATAGTTTCTTTAACTCTCACACCAATTCTATAGGGCAGGCATTATTTGCAGCTTAGAGGAGACCCTGAGTTTAACATAATGTTTGTTGAATGAGTGAGTTAATGAGTGAGTCTAAGATGGACTCTTATCCTGGCTTCATCACAATTAGCCCTGCCCTGAATTTTCTGGGTGTCAGGTTTCTTATCTCACAATGAGTAGATGGAGGTAATGATTCTTCAGATCCTGGCAGGCAGCTCTAATTTTTGTCTCTGCCGCCTGCCACATATCATAGATTTTCACTGCTTTGAAACTCCAACCCAAGTCCAACAGTGGAATCAAATCCTGGGGGTGAGGTTAGTGACAAACAAAAAAAATTCTTGGCATCTTCAGCCCTTTGTCTTAAACACCGAGCCACTTGTACTCCGACCTTCCGTACATTTTGAAAACCTAAAAATGGATAACAATTCTAGAGAAAAGGCCAAATAGGCAGCAATTAATAATTTAACATATATTTAACATTAACAATGAACATAACATATATTAACAATTTAACATATGAAAGACATGAAATGTCTTTCATGCCTTAGATATCACACAACTAATCAACATCCATCTTGACGTTGTTGAAATAAATGTTGGTAGTAAGAGTGAAATTATTTATACAGGGATTTGTACTTTGCTGGATTTTCACATCCAAGTCCTCATTTGGTACAATCAAGATAACTAGTGAATAAATATGCAAGTTTTGTTGAACTAATTTTTATAAACTATTCATGAAAGGAGAAGCTGTTGGTCAACAATTTTAGGAATGCATAAACATAAAGGAGGAGGATCCCCACCCTCATCTCTGGCCAGCAGTGATAATGGACATCATCGATGTTTCTAAACATTTTGAAACATTCTTTCTGTTTTTAATACTTCGATTAAAGATGTTGGGGTGGGACATGGGAAGTGGTTAATGTCATAATATTGCAAAGAAATATATAGTAAATTCCCTTTATTTATGCAGCACAGCGTGATTTCACATCAGTCATCTGGCCTTCCTTCTTTCTCCACTTCCTTCTTTCTCTACTTTGGATTCTTGGTTGGTCACCTGAAGTGCTCTTTCACTGGACACTTGATTCCCTTACGTTGCTGGAATTCTGGCCCACCCACTGGTTAATATACCAGCCCAGTGTCAGTGCTACCGATTTACCCTCCCCATCTGAGATATAGCTGGTCCCAGTGCTGGAAAAGCATTACTCAACCTTGGCTAGAACACAAGGAAGGCCCTTCCCTTTCTTGACACCTATATCCAATAGATGTGTTTTAGTTTCTATCTGAAACAGTATAAATAGTCCATAAATATACAACTGCCAGGAGCTCCTTATGCCACCTTAAAATGAGACTCTTCTTTTAGCTGAATAAATCCTAGACTCTGTCACCACCTGTCCTCTGGATTCTTCCTCTCAGGCTGTAGGAGAGGTCACCTTTGTACCCAGATTGTGCACTTTCTACAGTTGCTTTATTTTTAATCGTGGATGTGCCTTTATCTCTCATTTTTCTATGAGCTCCTTAAGAGGGACACTCAGTCTATTTATGTGTTTAATAAATATTCAACTGGTGCATTGTGACTTCTAGCAATTATTAATGAAATTGAGTTGTACTGTTGTAAACATGAATTTCTAAAGCCTGATAGATGATTTGTATAGAAAAGGCAAGTGTTGTGTCCAAGGTCAGACCCTGAATAGCCAATAAAACAATTTCTAAAACTCAGGACTTCTAATAGCCATGTCCAGTGCTGTTTTCTCTATGATGTAAACACTGATTGTCTTAGTTGATTTCTAGATTGCATCTAAAGGACTACATGTTTTTTGCCTTACAGGGTGGACAAACAGGGTCAAAGGGACCTCCAGCTGCTCCTCCCTCATTCCGCCCAGAAGATGAGCTGGAGCACCTGACCAAGAAGATGCTGTATGACATGGAAAATCCACCTGCTGATGAATACTTTGGTGAGTGTGTTCTAGAGCTGACTTCTGAAGTAAATGCCTTGTTCTATTAATATTTCCTTAATTAGTAAGTGCATATATTATCAGCTCTAATGATAAAGGATTGAGTATGGATTTATTGGAGTTGGTAATTCATGTGCACACAAGTCAGTGTTCTGGAAATTGCTTTGTGAGAGTCAACCGTAAGTGTGATATTTGTGTGGCTTTGACAATTCTCAGAGGTACAGCAAAATTGCATGAGACACAAGTTTGATTTAAAACTTAATTTTGACAATTTATTAGGTTCTTATTAGGCAGAAGTAGCACTTGTGTGTGTGTTCAGGTCTCAGTGATAATATACAAGATGTAGAATTGTGTAGTGTCTGAACTCTTTGCTGTCATCTCTTTCCCTATTGGAGTTCAGGAAAATGTGCTCCCTTTACATCTTTTTGTAAACTTCTTCCCTCTCCAAACCTGTGAGTAATTATGAACAATTAATCCATCTTGTCCATTAGTGTAATGTGAATTTATGAATTCTATGCCAACTATGAAGTGTTATGAATACATAACTTGTCCTCTGGGTAGTTATAATTATTCCAGAGAGATAAAAATACAAATAACTACTAATCTAGGTAGAAAGTTATGAGGCATGAGAGAGGCCTGTTTAGGTCAAATGTTAGGAAATTTAATAGCCCCATTCATCAGGAACATCAGGAATGCTATATACAAGAATTGGTGGCACTTGAATCTGCACCCTCAAAGCAGTGCCTCTCAAGTTTGTTTTTTGTTTCTTTTTTGTTGTTGTGAAAGACTCCTCCCCAATCTGTTGGAGATTAATATTTTCATAGAGTGCAATTAAATCAGTTACTAAGAAAATGAAATTTAAAAACACAAAGTGGAAGACTAACTTTTATCATTATTAGATTTAATAAGGATAAATTGCTCTATTAAAATGCTGTAATATTTTCTAAATACTCACTCTCTCTACTTGTCTCATCACAGGGTGATAAACACCTCTTAGTTAGACACCCATCTGTTGACCTCATTCTGAGTAGTACTGCTTTAAGGACATGTAGAGAAAGGATATTATATTTGGAAGCATTGGGGTAGAAAGGCACAGAGATGGGAAATTGCACAGGGCGTTTACTTCTTCAAGTATTTCCTCTTTGCATGTCTTCCTACTTGCTTCTTATTTGGGAATTTATATTGAAAGGTAAGCTGAAAGCACTGGTACAAAACACAACGTGGTTTTGTAGACTGGATTAGGGTGTGAAAATCATGGCATGTATTTGTATTCACGAGGCAGCATAGCTTAGCTAAAAGAGCACAGTGGTGAGAATAAAGAATGCTGGATCTGTCCCTCTCATGCCCTCACTGACTCAGCAGTATTGCCATATTCCCCATCTGCCTGAGCCCCATTTCCCACTTTGACAAAGCAAAGGTGTAGAGCAAATGTTCTGTAAGTATTTCTTTCAACACTGGTAAGATCATATGGAAACAGCATCAATCCAAAAAGATGTAGCAGAGCTAAAAGCTAAATGTAAGTTGATAGAGATTAGCACAAAGGCATGGAGAACAGTAAAAAAAGTCTTTAGTTATATTAAAATATACTCTAAGTGTATTATGTTCTTGTCATTGATGTGAGAAAAGGTTTTATATTGGAGTCTAAGGTAAACTTTTTTGAAAATCATCTTAAAAGCGAAAAATATGTTTTCTTTATTAAGGTCTATTAAAAATGAAAAGTAAATATACCAAGTATATATGCTTGGCATATCAAGCAAAAAATACTTTTTAATAAGAAAAATTGTGCTAATGAACCTAAGTATACTAAGCACTTAATATACTTGGGGAACTTTGGAAAACAGATATAAATGAACTATTATATTTGCCTTCAAGTATTGTCCTGGTTTGACTACTTATTAGCTTAGACAACTTTAGCAGATTGCTTATTCTCTCTAAATATTTTCTCTTTGTTTTGGTTTATCTTTAATATGGAAATAGCAGCCATCTTTTACTGTGATTGTGAGTATTGAATGAAATATTTCTGGAAAGCACTCAGCCAAGTTAGTGGCATATACCATATGCTCAGTAATCAGAGTTATCCCATACTTTAGGAAAAGAAGATATGCCCCTTCAAATTAATTAATAATATTGTACTTGATTTAAGTTCCTAGAGAAAGTAGAACATATATCACCAACCAACTAAATAATCATTGACAAATGATGTTTACAAACCATGAGAAAAATGCAGAATAACGATTAATTTCTATTGAATATTTACAGTATGGCAGCACTATTATCTGTACTTTTTGGAATTAATTAATTTAATCCTTACTGAAAAAATATATCCCTGTGGAGTAAATGCTATCATTATTTCCAGATTAAGAAATTGAGGCACAGAGATGTGAAGTAATCTGCCCATATTAACAGCTAATGAATCTCAGAACTTGATCAAAATGCAGACTCCAGGTCTATACATTTTTTTCTTCCAAAAGATTTTTTCCCAGCTTTATTGAGGTATACCAAAAACATTTCACATAATTAATGTATAAAATTTGGTGGGTTTGGACATATGTATACATTCCTATTACCATCAACACAACTCAAGTTATAAACACACCCAGAACCTGCAAAGGTTTGGGATGGATATTTAGAAAGGTTTTATGGAGAAGATCAGCTTTGGACAGATGGAGAATAACAGAAGGATATTCTCTTCTAAGTATATAGAATGAACAAAATATGAGTTGAGGCCAGAATTATTCAAGGAGAATGTATTTTATGTGGAAAACAAACATTAAGTACCTATTGCGTGCAGGTTACTCTTCTAGGTCGTGGGGGTATATAAAAACAAGCAAACATGAGAATTAACTTTAAAGATGCTTTAATCTAATAGGGGGTGTGTACAGAGTTATGGTGTTTAATCATAACTCAAGATAGAAGGGACGAGTGACTTAAAGTTCAGCCAAACCTTCTTTGAGAATTTTGGAAAAGGAGAATAGACATCCCAAGGCAATAATGGGAAAGTGTTTATGGAGTAGTTAGCCTTTGAGTCAAGTCTTTAAAATTATGCTAATAGAAATCTGTAAGTAGGACAACATTATAGAAATGATGTCATTTCTGATGAGGGGAATTTTTAACATATAGGGAATAAAACCATTGGAGAGAATCACCTATGTTGGAAGAAACAAATGTTGGGAAATAAGATTGGAGAAGTAGGTTGGGAGCAATATGGAGAGGACTTTTATATTGTTGTTGTTGTTTTATTTTTAATTACAGTGGACATTTAATATTATTTTATACTAGTTTCAGGTGTATAGCATAGTGGTTAGACAATTATGTAATTTACAAAGTGCTCCCCTCCTATAATTGTAATACCCACCTGGTACCACATATAATTATTACATTATTATTGACTATATTCCCTGTGCTGTACTTTACATGCCTGTGACTGTTTTGTAACTACAAATCTGTACTTCTAATCTCTTAACCTTTTTCTTTACCACCCCCAACCCCCATCTGGCAACCCTCAGTTTGTTCTCTGTATTTATGCCTCTATAACTGTTTTGTTTGTTTATTTTGGTCTTTAGATTCCACATGTAAGTGAAATTATATGGTATTTGTCTTTCTCTGTCTGACTTATTTCACTTAGCATAAAACTCTGTAGGCTTATCCATGCCATTGCAAATGGTAAGATTTCATAGTTTATGGCCAAGTAATATTGCATTGTGTATATATACCATGTCTTCTTTATTCACTTTTCTATTGATGGGCACTTGGATTGCTTCCATATCTTGGTTATTTTAAATAACATTGCAGGGAACATAGGGATACATATATTATTTTGAATTTATGTTTTGGACTTTGTCCAATATATACCCACCCAAAAGCGAAATTGCTACATCATGAGGTAGTTTTTTGTTTTTTAATTTTCTGAGCAACCTCTTTACTGTGGAAAGGACTTTTAATGCCTGACTAAAGACTAGAGATTTTTATCTCACATAATGAGCTTTTGCACACTGAGATCAAATGCTATGGAAACTGTTCCATCAGTAGTGGTTAAGAACGTGGGTTCCAAAGGCAGAATGCCTTGGTTTGAATGTCAGCTCTACCTCTAAGAGCTCTAAGAGAGCTATCATTTACTGCTGTGCACTGTAAACATCAAACATTTCCGAAGAACATTGTTCCTCCGTGCCGCTGTCCTGGGTGTCAGGGACATGTAGATGCAGAGACTCCACCCTAAAAGAACTTAAAGTTCATGCATTATTATCCCCAGCTCCACCTAACCCCTTCACCTTCTCTCTTTTTTTCAACATTGCCTGTTTAATGCTGAAATTTTTATCAACACTATAGCCGATTTGCTGAAAGTCATAAAGTGCTTGCTTGTCAAAGATCTTCTACTAAATTATAGGCTGAGCCTGGGAAAGAAAGGGATGAAGCATCACTGAATGGTGTAAATGCAGCAGGTTCCTCTACAGTCATGTTGCTTTGTTTCCATAAAGTCCCCCCTTTTTTAACTTAGGTGAAATGATTCGTGAATATATTGTTGGTTTTTTGTTTGGTTGTTTGTTTTCTTTATGGATATTCTCATAGCTTTCAATAGTTTTTCTTTATAATTAAATAACTATTATTATGGTATGCTTAAAAGTATAAGGAGTGATCTCAAAAATCACATTACTAAAAAGTTTCCTTTACCAAGTAGAGGTCTGGAGGGAACCTTCTGAATTCAAATAATGAAGTTTACATTACCAATAATGGGACAGATCGACATGTGCCAGTTGATATAAGACAGTAGGAAGTACACTGCCTACTTGTCCAACCATTTGGAAATAGACAAATCCAGGTCCTATAACATTCTGCAAGACGGTTGTCCTGAATTATTGAAAAAAGTCAATGTTAGAAGAAACTATGCTAGATTAAAGGAAATTAAAGTAATATGTCATTCAAATGCAAGCCATGAGTTTTTATTGTATTCTGGATTTTTAAAAAAAACTATAAAGTATTTGAGTCAAGGTTTGAGAAATTTG